GGTTGACATCTTTTGGCGACAGTTAAAGCCAGCAAAAGCATTGGGAATACCCACGCGTACGGGCCAAGTAAATAAATTGGTTCCGCTCCACGTATCATTTGATTCGCTCTATTTACGTTGGAGACACATTGAGGCATGACCGAAAGTAACTTGAAAGTATAGTGGGTAATTTCAAATGGACAACAGTTACAGAGATGGCCACATGATCGGGAAAGCGAGCCAGCGATCTGACGGAGCTCTCCAAGAAACAGTCTTACCAAATCGGTCTATTGTTTGTCCTTGGACTTATGTAGATGCTCATCCTGCTAATATGGTTTGTCGACGCTGAGCTCGCCGGTTTACAGTCGGAGTCAGTTTCCATAGTTCCTTTCATTGCTAACAATATCAGCCATGAGAAATTCTAGAAACTTCGATTTGTTTGTTAGAAAAAGAAGGGGTCCTGGAACGGTTGAACTGGGTTTTTGCTTGTTGCTCGCTAATCTATATCCCCTATAGTGAATATTTATCGTATTTTTAAAAGCAAGCATGAGAATATTGAGCTTGCGGTAGGTATGCCTTAAGCAACAAAATATATATCCAGTGTAATTTTACTACGAACTAACTTTTGCTCTTCCTTCCCCATCATTAATTAACTCTCAAATCGATATCTATATCTATAAACAGGGTTTTTTTTTTCGAAATACCTTGAAAATTGTCCAGTGAATACATTCAATTGCTTGAAGTTATTTGTATATGTTATAATAAATAAGTTATAGGTTTTATATGACAGAGTAACTCTTAGGTCATTTCATGAACCTAAGTAGAATTGCTCTACAATCGTAATGTAACTGAAGTTTTTATACCAATTTATTTGTTGAAATAGCCCTTCCTATGAGAGGTTTTTATTTCTGATTATATGTAGCGATGTTGCTTGATGGCCCTTTTATCTTGGGCAGTCACACAATACACGCCGGACGAAATCGCGAACGATGAGCGTCAGGGGTCGAATAAGGAAAGCAACAGATTTTGTCAATTGGAATTACATTCATTAAGGCCAACATCTGCCTAATAAAATTCTGTATAACATTGCACCTAGAATAGCAGTACGGCTAAAACGATCCGCCACCCAAAGCTTACGCACTCCATTGTACCTGATTTGCTGGCAACATAAGTAAAAACCTTCGTTGTGCTCAGATGGATATATTATCTGTCTTTGAAAATCAGATGTTTTTGTCTGGTAGCATGTTTTTTAAAAACTGTTAGGTAAAATGCAAGGTTATTTAAATAGTACTAAGCCAAAACAGTATTGAAAGTTTGCCACTGTAGGGTACTGAATGTCAATTGTCGCTTCCAGAGCTATAATTGCGTGATTCAAAATAAGCATGCCACCGTTTTTTCATCCTCTTAATATAGCTTTCTAAAGCAATTGTTGGGACATTAGACGTTTTTCCTGAATCTTTTCGATTAGCTAAAGCTTTTCCCTTAAAGTGTTAAAGGTTTAGCAAAAAACATCTGAGGAAACTAATAACTTTATGACTTGTGCAAACTCTGTATCAAAATGGACCGATATGATCCAATGTAGACTAATTAATTCGTATGCAAACTTCCTAAGATGACTCAGCCGTCATCCAAAATAAGTTGTTTTTCTTTTTGCTGTTACGGGTCGCCTCTAACGGGGATTGTTCACAAGGTTCTCTCGCCCAACACAAGCCCGTTAGTGCCACTTGTACATCACGCATTTTTTCATTGTAGTTTCAAAAGGTTTTTTGCAGCAACGACACTACGGACGATCATGAAATTTTATTCTGAATATAGAATGTAATGCATACCTCTTAGAAGTCTATTATCGATTTCCAAATAAATTAAAACACAGTCAAGGATTACCCACTTAAAACAAGTCGCAGAGTATGAAGCATGTCTTCGATTCACTTGAAATTTGGCCTGTCAGTAGAAAAATAAGCAATCGAGAACGACGCCATAAGAGTGCCCTTCAGTCGACCAAAGGTAAACGTTGATTTATTGATTCTTGCTTGGGCCTAAAAGCGCTGTTTTTGGGTTTTGAACTTCAAGAGATCGACACTTGTTTTGGGTGCGCAAAAGAGGGAGTTAGAAGAAAAGCATTGTGATTGAGCAAAAGAGCCAGAGTGGAAATTAACCAACGAAGCTATTCGCGTGTAAACAGTGAGCTGATCGAAACTGTCAAATTTACCAATGATACGAATTAAGGACACGTTCGAAAATTTTAAATCAGTGTTCAATTTGACTTTGTTCCAATACAGTTAAGACTAGTTCATCTAGCCATGAGGCTAATTTCTATTCCAGCCTATCTTTTTTCAGAAAAGGTATTAAGCTTGATCTTACTTTGTGTTTCATGGTCAACGCATCTAACTTCCTGCTTTAGGCAAATTTGGTTGTGCCGTGATTGCCTGGACAAGGCTAAATAAATTTATCCTGAACCAGTGAGTGACCATATGTATACAGTCACTCCCTGGTGTGTATATGTAATATCGATGCATGATAATTCTAACTTTCATATGATAGGTACCCGGATGCAGAGCCCGAGGCTCTCTAACTCAAATCTGCCAATGTGCATACATACACAATATGAGTGTCAACAGGGTGAGGAAATATTTGATAGTTGTACAAAGTACTATCATTTTGCTAGTTTGTTACTCAATCATATTTTGTAAAGTCTGTTGCTGCAAAAGGAAATCTAGTCTGCAATTTTTCAGATAAAGATAGACAAATCATCTTATTACAATAGATTAACTTGTATCCACAGCTTATGCGCGCGTACAAAATTCGTTTATTGATGCCTGTGTTATAGTACCTAAATACTTTTGATTTAAGATCTATCGACTGCTCAGCAGCAATGACTGTTTATATGACTGGTTTTTGCGTTAGATAGAAAACTCATGTCATAATGAATATGTTAATAGAATATAATCACATTACTTGCGTCAGGTTCTTCGGACACATTTCTTCCCATATGGGTTCCGGGAGGGATGGTTGCAATAAAATTACCCTGTGACAATCATACACGTCCAATTTGATAGGCTTACGAAGTCGACCAATGGGCGATGACCTAAGAGACACCCAGCGCCGTGTGCTATTGTACTTGCGCAAAAGACACTTGAACTTTTTGGTTTTTTTAGTTTAGAGTTGTAGGGAAAGCTGAGCCCTGGTGCTACCTGGGTACGTTTAGAAAAACTTTATCTACGCTAAAACAATAAGAATAATAGTAAATGTGCTTCATCGCCGAAACTGTTAGAATTACAAGAGTATTTGTATGCAATCTGATGGATTAGAGTCGAGGACCAGTGTTATTCTAACTTCTCTGTGTCTACTCACAGAAATATGTATCTGGATTTTTTTGGTTTAGTGTTCGAAAAGTCATAACCTAAAATCCTGGGTAAAGAATACTAGCATATGAATATAAAACTGTTCTGATGTTTTCATCTACGTCTGTGAGCAGAATTATTCTGCACTAATTGGCCATGCGCATGTTAACAGTGTAGATATTTTTGTATCATTGAACTATGAAATTGACTGTTTAGGGATACTTCTGTGCGCTGTTCGCGCACAAAACACCAGCAAAATCAATTACAGACGTCACCAATTAATGTGTGGAAAAGTCTGATCAGGAAAAAGCTGCTGATAACGGTTGTGTAAGAATCAACAATGTACAAAGAATGCACGCTTCGGTAAACAACATCTATGGATTGAAAAGTATCCACTAATGACATAAAAACAACTCATTTTGTAATTCACGTTTTGTAGATAAATTTCATAAAACGTTATTTCGAACTATTTTATTGATTCATTGAAAAAGCTAGTTATAACTTTTCTATGCCTTTTCTATACAAAAAAAAAAAACAAAATATAATATTTGAAAAATATATTTTTTTTTATTTGTTTGCGTCGATAATGCAGACTTAAAAACCGACAAATTTTTACATTCAGGATTTTTCTTAATATTTTTAGGGAGGTTAAAAAGACAAGTTTAAAGCGTCTATTCCATATTAAGTAAAAAACGATGTCAGTCCGGGTTGAAACGGTAGTTAAACTTTGCTTGAAATGCCTACAAAAAAATCGAAAGACTACGTCGTAAACGCAAAATATATATCTCCTCTATAATTGCTGCTTAATGTACGTCCAATGTTTCGTTGCGCAGATAATATAAACAATTGTAATAGGTGTTTCTAATTCTATAGCACTCACAGAGGAGTCAGGTCTTCACTGAAGTTGTTGACTTCAAACGCCAGTTTCTTGATCCTAAAGTTAAAACATACTTCGACATTAGCTCTAAAATGGGGAAATTTGAAAAAAAAAAAGAGAAAGAAACGTGTGGAAGATTGGTGCTCATTTAGAGCTATTAACTGGCTGTATTTTATGGGTTCTGAAACTGCCTTTACCTAACCAGCTAACAGACGTAATAATATTAATGAAGTATTTCCTATTTTGCACAACTCGAGTAAATCTTCTAGAGAGCATGGCAATTGTTTCTATTTATAAAATTAAAGATATTTTTTTATTCTTTATTAAAATAAAAACTAAAGAAGTGTGTATCACCAGTTTGGATAAGAATGTGTTTTCCTCCTCATTCGAAATTACTATATCCACAGTAAATTACATTTCGCAAATTACGAAACGCCTAGGCAGCAAATTACGTTCCTTCGATTGACGTCGCTTCTACCACATGCAGAGCGTATCCTTAGAAAAGTTCCAAGTTCCAGTTGCTACACATGTGCATCCTTCCAAGCATTTCTGGGTTTACTGTGTAACTTACCCACTCAAAAAAAGAGGCTGGGACAAATCTAAATGGTTTCCCTCTGCATACGAACGAGAGATCTATACGATTAAGATTTTGAACTTTATTTAATTTGTAACTCTTTGTCCTAACGGTAAAAAAAGCTCTGTTTTTTCGCTTTTGTTTAGAGAGTAGACATTTTGTTATGAATAGGTCGAATAGTGCGAAATAAGTGGCTGTTTGTTTAGAGAATAGTTAAATGGCGATTTTATTGAAAACACAGCGCTGGAATAATATATAGTAAGTATAGCTGTAATAATGTTATATAGTAAAGTTGTAAATAAAACCGCCCCTTGTTAGCATTAGCTTTCTTTTAAGTTCATGCTTACTTACTAAATCTTTAAATTTGTCGACATCTTTCAATACACCGTAATCACAACAAATGTATGTCCGTATTTCCAGGTTTTGTTATAAGCGTATTCTCCCAGCCATTACATTTTGTCTCACAAATGCGATTGCATGGCACATAATTGTTGATTTATTCTAGCAGTTAATAAACTTATATATATATATATTATATATATATATATATGTATATAAATTATTTAAAGTTGTGTAAATTATTTTTCTTTGATATTATATATCCGAAACGAGTGTGTAACCGAGCTAAGTCAATTATAATCTTAAACGACAATCGAAGTACGTTAATAAACATGCTTCGATCGAAAAATATAATGCTTCAATTGTTCCCTTATTTGCGCAGGGAATAGCAAGATAACTTAGCTAATAATAATAACAGTGAGAATATCTTAATAGCATCAGTACTACAAATAGACTGCTTCAAGACCGGCTCAATTCTTTTTCCCAAAGATTAAAAAATTTGGTAGACCAGTGTGAGATACAGATTCTATGTCCTAAATTTAATTCCTTCAGCGCTCATTTACAAAATTAAGAACGACTCGCATGTATATTTATAGCCAGTTTCAGTCTTTTGTTTTGGCACCGTGGTATCTGTTGCCGCTGTTGAACGACTAACTTTTTGACTGCAAAAATCAGAGATTGCTAGTTTAAACCTTGCCAATGAGATATATTACGCAATGCATGTAACCAAATAAGGTAGCATATACGTACACTGCGACGCTTTTTTGGCAATATCCTTGCTAGATGTCATTTGATTGATCTTAGAATAGAACTCGTTTTCATGTACCAAGTTATTTATTTATTAACCCAGAGGCCCAGAATTTTCAACAATAAATATCGATAAGGGCTTGCATTTAATACGTCCCAATAGAACTATTATGCACCTAAAGTACATTCTTTAACTATGCAATGTTGGGATCAGAAAATTTATGGCAATGGATAAGGGCATAACACCGCCTTGACAGACTGAAACAATTAGTGAAATACCAACAAGATTCATTACGATAAAATACACAAATTTGAAATCTATTTTACTCATTGTACCCTTCGATGAGCTTGAAACTCGGTAAGGGTACCTCTAATGTAACACATTTATTTAGTATTAGAGGAACCATAATTTTCATGGTTTCAACGAATGAACTTTGACTATCGTAGATAGTGCAGCCTGTAAAGGCAACGTGACTTACGCACACACATTATGTATACGTGAATCTCAATCATCAAATGTCTGAACAGGACGTTATGCTCTTGGAGTTGTTTTTTTTTTACCAATACATGATATTATTCGAGAAAAAGAAATACTTTATCCCTATAAAATGTACAAGTGCAAATTTTCCCGTTATTGTTAGCTTTTTTTTTCAAATCAGGTTATTTTAGATGAACAACCTATAGAAATACAAATTTTCACAGAACTGAATGAATCTTAACTAAATTTTTAAAAACGTTGCAAACCTTCAAACTACATGCGAACTCAAAAGCCTCTAACGTTTTTCTAGTTATCTTTTATTACGTTCTTGATTCCTAGAAGATAAAGTAAATTCGTTTTGATTTGTTAATAAACATAATATACATTTTCACAGTATTTAGCTAACTTGTCACTTACTTGTTGATTGTTTTTTATTTCGTTCATGAGACAAGAACTTACTGGTAGTCCAAACTTTGTTCGTAGCTAGTACTGTTATAGAAAGAAAAAAGTGACGCACAATTATTCCTGCATATGATTACTGTTTGTCAACATTTTGACTTGCTTTTTGATCACAACTCGAGCGTTTTCATTTGACTGAATTCAGTGACGTTCTGCTGACCTTTATTCATTAATCGAAACGGTATATCGCCGTACACGTATTTACGTGGACCAGCCACAAAGCACCGATAAGCGGTATAACTGCCTACTTTCGTCATCGATATTCGTATTACAATACTTATTACTTCGGTTTTCGTTTACGGTTCCGTTCTGGTTCTTATTAGATTATCTACTTGCATAAGGTACTAGTTTGTTTCTTTGCTTCCTAATGCTGAGTAGATTTCTGCAAAAACGGCGCAAATATTCACAAATGTAGGTAAAATGGCCATAAAATTATGGCCTTACCTGACTAAGTGCAATGAGCGGCGGCGGCGGCTAGCTTTTATAACCAAAGTGTAAAAAAGCAATCGTGCCTGTACTTGGGCGTGTCATCTAATTTGAGTAGTGTTCGTGCCTTTCTGTCAAAGATGCACGCGTGTCAGCTTCAGCCGTGGCACGTACTTTAGGCGAATACTATGGATGCAACAATATGGATTATGACAAGGTCGACGACTAATTAGAGAACACGCCATGCCAAAACCCATTATGGGTACAGGCTATTTAACTATGGAAATCTACTTTGCTTACGAATGTGAATATTTTTTGTAATCACATACTCAGAGTAAAAATAGACCCACATCGTTCAAGGAATTTTTTAGCGTATTCAAGGGCCAGCCCAGTGGTAAATACGCGGCCTTTCGCAGCGAAGATCGCAGCAGAGTTTAAACAGAAAGGAATAAGTTGAGAGAAGCAGAGAAGTTGAACTGGGACGCTGGGTACGGTACCTTGAAGATAGTGGTATTGTAAACTATACAGTTGTGCATTTTATTGAAGGACGTAACGTGCCTGCTTTCGCGCAATGGGGGCAAATGAACATAACATGACTTGCCATTATATTCAATTTTTTCCATATACACATCCTTCGTTTGGCGCACACGAGGTCTAAACTTAATTTGAATTCTCACGGGTACCTTACCCTCGGCAGATTTGTACATTAACGGTTTTCGAGAGGTCCTACAGCGTGCCAGCAATAGCACATCAGTCTGGTTAAATAGATAAGGGTCGGAGTTTTCGATGCTTGGTTTCATATATACAACACGCTCTTTTTGGGCTATATGTATATTCAACTTTACACATCGTCTTGTAAATACGCGACTCTGAATTTTACATTTTTGTAGATTCTACTGGAAGGCTAATTTTTGCCATGACTTGGCTCTACGTGAAACTACACAAATATCTCTGGTTCTTAGTTACCTTTAGCATTAAGCATATATATATTTCGGGTTAACCGATCCGCATTTAAAGTTTTCTCGGTTCTGCGGGTGAACTGTGCCCTTTTGAGGCCCACCAATAACAAAAATATAAGCATAATGTCTATCTCTGCTGTTGTTTTTAAACGTTCTGCTCTTGACTGTAAATACGTCAGACACGTGAATTTTGTAGTGCCAAAAATATCTTAGTTTGCAGTTATACGAGGACTAATAAAATACATGTAGTCTTATCGGAATTGTCTATACTTACTAGTTTTGAGCGTTCCTGTTTTAACGATCTAAATACAGTTATACACAATGGCAATTGCCAATCAAATAAGATAAATTTAAACGATCTTTTGAGCCGATTATGGCTCGAATGAAGCTTATCGTATAAGCGTCTCTGTAAAATATTAGATACCGTTTGGCTTATTTGATTGGTCGCTGTTCATGATATTTCTCGTTTCCCAATAGAGAAGTGCTTTGTGATGGGCTATTACTCTGCTGAAGATAAAGACATGAATACTACAAAGTGTTACCGGATCGAATACAAAACGGCTTTAAGCCTAAATCAATTTAACCACTTTTACTACTGAATTTGCAGTAACTTCATAATCGCACAGTCTTCAGATCGCTGCATGATGATGCACGGTGTGTTTTTTTTCGAATCGACTCAATGGTGACAACATGTTCGACCTGCTGATTGGAGCCTGTTTTCACAAACCCAGAGAGCGCCGTCTCTTTTTTTGTTATGTTGCCCATGAAAAGCATTTTCTCCAGATTGCCAATGGGCGCTTCTATTAAGAGGTACATAAAAAACGAGCATAGATAGGTGATCATGTAGGTAGCGAAGAAATCCTTGATCTGAAATAGTACACAATTATTAGGCATAACAATCGACGCCATTTTGAAAGCTAGATTTGCACTAAGGAACCGTTACGAGCTCGACAAGTAGTATAATTAACGTCGATTTGAGACTTTTCTCGCGAAGTGTCATGGGTTATGATTTTTACCGATGATACCGTATATTACGAGCAGAACTTATAATAATAGGTCAAAACAGAAAACAGTGATGGGGTCACGTTAAGTTGCTCAATTGGCGATATCAAATCTAAGGCTCAGAGAGCTCCTTACAAGCAATAATTTGTTCTCATGTATTGCAACCAAGCTATACAGCCCAGCAATAATGTACTAACCATAAATTCGTGGCTGAAAACCAGACGGTCTCTGGCGACCATCGTGCGTGATATGAGTACAACCGTTTGTAGCATAAAAGCCGAAAATGATAATCGACTCATCGGTATCAACGCCTTCCAGGCCAGGAGCCCATTGAGCAGGCCTCCACGGCCTGTGGCACAGGCAAACGTAAGCCAACCCAGACCAACAGACCATGCTGTACGATGGGTCGCTGCGTAAATAGTTGCATCCCAGCCCTCGTGGGGAGCACCTTAAGATTTCAACACGAGATAGAAGCACAAGAATCTGGTTTAGATTATGAGTCAGCAGAGTCAGCTCCGTGGCGTAGACAGTGCAGCTTATTGCTAGTGTGGTACAATAAAATCGAATTTGAAGAACCTTATTTGTCTGTGATCCATGTCAAAATGTCGACGACAGCTGTACGGAAGGCTAATCGAACGTATTACCCTCTACCGGTTATATTAATCGGCGAATGTTTAAACATCAGATGAAATGTATTGGCGGTGAGTAGTATCGGTTAGCATGTTGGATACCGTTGATTTTTGGGAAGCGTTTCTCGTGTCGACTGTTTACAATTGCTGTTATTGAAAAAAGGCAAGAAGTATGACAAAAGCCCCAAGGGGCGAAGAACTAAGCCGCTGATTTACGGTACGCTATCGTACTGAATTTGCTACTTCGACTAGCGCATCTTATCATTCTATAGCAGACTATAATATAAGACGACTTACGGTATAGATAAATATACGGTTGGGAATAACCAGTGTCACCATTGCGATTAACTGACCAAAAAAGGTGCTTTCCTTAACAGCATTGCAGCTAAAGGATTGAATAATTATTTTATGAGATAAAAGATTCGGTACGAAAATCTGAAGATGTTGAGTCGCTCCATCTTAGCTCTACGTAACTCCCCCTCTCTTCAAAACACCAGGTTGAGAGGTTAACAAGGCCGATTAAAATTAGACATTGTGGATATAGAGTATGTATCGAAAAAATGGTAGCGCTTTCTATTTCTAATAAAGCGGTGTTCTGTCTACACGAAAAGTTTCGCTGAAAGTATACATATTAGGCACTATGACATGACGGTGAACGGTCCTTACCAGCAAACCACTTGTGCGGTCCAAAGACAACCAGCAAACATATGGCTATTGACGCGGCCCACAGGGTGCCTTGTGCTGCCGTGGTTAATTTGTACGCTCCATAAGCAAGCACGAGATAACCTGTGTCAAGAACACAAACATTTCTAGCTAAACCTCCTATAAGATAAATCTATCGCTTTTTATTATAGGCATAGAAGAACTTAGTTAAACTCAATTAACTAAACTTAATTGGCGATTTAAACAAGAAACTTGTCCTTAAGAACCAGTTGAAATACTGATTCTCTAAATATATTAATTGAGCCATTTCTCATACCTAATCGAGGCTGATGCTGTTAATGAGATAATTTCATTTAGTCTGTGGTAATCATAACCGCTAAAACTACCATGCTACTACTGTATACATTAGCAATTATCTCCCGTTACATCTTAGCTAACTTTAACGACAGGTATGGCTGCTTAATTAATTCCTATATACTATTGTGCTGCGTTTCAGGCGTTAAGGCGGATTATCGTAGGCGCCTCTATTTAGATGGCATGCTTTGTTTGCAACCCAGGTACACTTACCTGTGATGATGCCGACGCAGAACGAACCAGCGTGCGCAAATGGCTTGAAGTACACCTCGTTTCCGGCGTCAAAGGTCCGATTAACGTTAAAATCGGAGTAGATAGGCGTGGGCTGATAGCCATTTGCCTTGGTTTGGACTCCTACTAAAATGGCCGTCGCCATTATCACAAAGCAGCACAGGCCAAGACCCACTCGTTTACGCCGTAACATAATGATGGGAATCACCTGTTTAAATTTGTGCCACAAAAGCAGGCAAATAAAACAAGCAAATGAACGCTCGCTTGAATCCACCAAACAGCAAAGCATAAAGCTGATGCATTTTTGCTAGAAATAGACAATAATCGTCAATAAAAATATATTTTATGTAAAAATTTAAAGATTATAAAAATATAAACATTTTATATAAAAATATATATATTGAACCATTTTTTCCATATGTAAATCTCGTCTCTTCGTTAAGAGGGCATCTTCCGAGCTCATTTTTGTGGTAATTAAATATCATCGTTTAAGCGGCTGATCTCAATGTATATTTTTGTTTGCGTAACGTTCCGCCAATTTTTAATAATTTGCTTATATATATATATATATATATATATATATATAATAATTTAATATTGTTTGGTTCTATCTAAAATTGTCCGAAGATAGCTTGGATTGTACAAAATCATATTAACATTCATCTGATCGGATACCACACCTATCGTACAGACCTTTTACGACTCCGATCTTCAGGTACTTACCCATAGTGTTGAGTAAATCTGCCAATCGACGCTAACGTACCACAGATGTGCCAAACACATATCGAAAAATGGCACCCAGTTGTTGATGTGAAGTAGGACGCGCCACCAGTTAATCTCGCACGATCCAAAGACTATTCCTTTATATTCTGAATAAATTGGTCCAGAGATGAAACGGGGCAGGACGAGGAAAAGGCCGACCAAGAATATGATTGGTGTCGTCAGCCGAATATATCGTCGCGCCAGCAGCAGGAGAATTGGTATTGCTAGGGTTTTTTTGTACGACGATAGATACTTGAGGACATTGTAGGACAGAAGAAAACCGGACATGAATAGGAAAGTTTGGATGCAGGGAAACGCATTGCCGATGAGACAAAACCAGATATCCTCCTGTCGTTGGAAATAATGGGAAAAGTAAGTAGTTAGATATGTAACTAAAGGACAACGACACGAACATGGCCAAAATAGCAAACGTAGGCAAGTGCCTAGGTTATGATTCAAGGAGTAGATTTTATACGTTCACAATAACTCCAGTTTATTAATGAGCACTAAAATAAGAATAATAAAGTCATGTTTTTTTCTCTAATATGTTTTGTGCATATATATGATGTATCAATTCAGCGAGCAAAGTAACTGTTTCCCTGTTCCGGTCATCCTGTTCAGGCGTTTTCTTTACTAGAATCTAAATGAAGCGACGGTGCATCATCATCGCTGCTAAGCAATGCGTTAACATTCCCCTATATCAGGCAATGTGTCAGGGTCACATAAAAGTATTTTCCTTATGGTGAATCGCGAAGCTACGTTTGAAAGCAAGCTCTATGCAAATGATAGCTTAAACGACCGTTGAGTTCTAAATATTTACCACTAAGTTACGTATATACAGAAGTATTACTTACACTTAATCAAGCTTGCAAGCCACAGTCTTATTACAAGGTCTTTCTTTGTCGCTCACGTTGTAAAAGGGGTGTATTCTTCAGACCCTTACCTTACTTTCAACGAACTTTCGACCTCATTAGTCAATCAGTACCTCCTGTGCGCCAATTTCGACAGGAACTTCGTTCTTTTCTAATTATAAGATAATGTAAAGGTATCCGTGGGTTTTTGTCACTGATTTTTTTTACGGGCACGGGGGCAGTATTTGGATGGTTTTGAGACAAATAGCCGCTAGAAGTCTCACGAGGTGAACATTATTGGATAGATACTAAAGTACGCTCAATTGGCTTTCTTTCCGCTTAAGCCACAACAACTCAGTAGGCTTAAGGAATCCTGTAAAATCCGACCTAAAGCGTATTGTACGCACTTCGTACTTTATATTAGACTATGAAATAAGCTAACACAAGTCACATTTTATTAGCATGTAGACTAGATTTTGGTTCTACTCGGGCAGAAACTTTGCGATCTACCGTCTTTACTGAAACCATGTTTTTTTTTTCACAGTATTGAGTAATCAATTCGGCATACGGCAGCCGCTAACAGCCGCCAGATGGCATTTCGGTATTGCTAAAAATTGACTTACCATTCAGCGCCATGCAACTCAACGACAAAACAGACAATTACAAATCGTCGTCGTTGGTAGGCGAATGAAATCCGCAACTCGTACGGGGCTAGACTATCGTAGTTGTATTCCTAAAACAGATCCCTTACCGATAGCAAAAGCGACCTTTGCCACGATATCGACAAAAAAAACCCACTTGACTGCGCAACAAGCGCATAGACAACGATCAGTCCCCTAGATCAACCAATAAATACAAGAACTGCCCCCCGAAATATATATAATTTCATTTATATTACCTATAGGATATTGAGATTAGTACCAATTATCAAATCATAGTTAAGGAAACCAAGATAACACCGTTGTATTACCACTAAAGAGCTATTCATTTCCTTTGAAAACATCACCATTTCCTCAAGAGCTAAATTGCTAACCTTGGGTATATTTTAAGTGTTATCCTGCTTTTGGTGTTGAGTAATATTCCTTTTTTACGGCACAATAAACCACTGTGTATTAATAATATGACAAGATAATATTGGCAGACGGCAGCTTAAAAAGTAACATTGCTTGAGTCATAGTCTTCGGATATTGTCAATGTGCAGCTTCTCCTGAAAGAAATTCTCAAATGCTGAAGTTGAGGCGCGTTGCTCCTCATTGCTTATCCTTTTCAGGAATGTTTTCTTGTTCTTCATTAATTGTGACTCGAGATTATCTTTACGCAATATTTTAGTAAATCGGATCATCAGTAAGTCTCAACGATTGTTATGCAATTAAAATTCCAACTGTCTTCTAAACTGAACCCGATATTCCACTAAATATATATATATATATATATATACAACTTTTTGTATGAGGAAACTCTGTTCTGAGACTTGGCCAACGAGAACTTGTTTGAGTTTTAATAACTTCTTTGTATGTGGAACTTCTGTCCAGAAACTTAGCTAGAGAACACTTGTTTAAGTTTTAACAACTTCTCTGTATGAGGAAGTTTCTTTCTTGGAGGAAAGAACTTTCTGTGTATATATATATTTCAAACTAAATTCAATGACACGTTCGAAAGCCTGATTCAGTGGCAAGTACAAGCAATATTCTCGTTCGCAATCGCCACCATTGATGATTTGGTATTGCTGTTAATTTCATTGTTATTACTGTATTCGTTTGAACCCAAAATATGAAGTTAATCTAACTCATTTTGCCATTACAATGATGATGGCCTAGGATTTCGGTCCTAGTATTCCATTTTAGCGGAAAAGAAAAAATAAAATCGGGTGAGAACCTGTTTCGCTCTAGCTGTGAACAGCAGAACCTTAAGTGGGACGCTGCCTACTTAGAAATACGTCGAGAAAAGTTTTATATAAAGTATTTAGCTGAACACATATAAACCATGACAGCAGGTTATGTACGAGCCGAGGGGCGGTCAGGCCAGAATTTAATGACGCCATTGTCTATTTCTAAGCTCACTATGCTTGTTTTGATGTAGAATTCACTGTTAAGCCATTTTGCTTTGAGAAAAAGACCAACGGCGTGCAGAATGTTGACCTGCAATCAATGGCCCATACGTGTCTCTTGTGGCAATGAACGCCTAATCAACGTTAACTAGATCTAATCGATTTTTTGTGTAAATCCAAAGCCTATCATCTCTTTATTATTATTTATTTACACATGGCACATTAATACCGATTAATTTCCAATTCAGTTGTTAAATAATATTTTTATTATCAGCAATTTTTCTTGACCGGTATAACATGTGCATGTATAGTCGTTATATTTGCTACAATCGTAAGGAGGTACGGAAATGTATTGAAATACGTAAAATTTCGCCTTATTTTTATTTTATGCTGCTATTATCTGCCACAATGCTGTTGTATAGCGTTGTTGAGCGCTACACAAACGTCACTAAAAGGGTAGACGTTTAAGCTACGTTATATTAAGCTGTACATGCAGAAAACGAATGGAATACTTGAATCTGTCGACCATTAGATTCGACCTGAAAGAGCGGACACACTAGGGTTCTAAGATTTTTGCCAGAATACGTATCGCTTTGAGAGCCACCTAAATATGCCGAGGGCATATTTTATTATTCGAATTCGTACCATTTATTTGTAAAAATACGTTTCCTAAAGGGTTTTTTCGCTTCGTGACGAGATGCATAGAGTCGTTATCTCGTGGGATCTCACATTTGGGTAAATTATTAGCGGCCACTACACCTTGCTGCAGACGTACATCGAGCTTGCTAACGGTCCCATTCGATGTAAAACCTGTTTCAACATACCTGTAGTTTAATGATGTTTAGCGATTCGGCCAGCGACGTGGGAATTATAAGAAAGTACGTGTGACCGAGGATGACCCAGGAGGCGCTGAAAAATCTTAGGCCATGAATAAACCTGAGGCGATAAGCATCTGAATCGATCGCCGCCTTAGTCGAGAGCAGCTTGCGAGTATTCTCCACAGCCGAGAAGCACCGCAATATCGCGTATGCCTTACTCACTGCAATAAACTCATAAGACCAGTTATGGATAAATGAGAGCTGCAAATACACTTACTACGACACCTCGACTGAGTTCTGCGATGAAGTATCCAATATAACCTATAGCAAATATACATAGCAATGAAGTTATTGACATGCTGCTTACTTCTTCGATATTCCCTACCCCAAGATATCTATATGTAACTTGTCTATAAGATACGAAGTTAAATAGGAATACGATGGATATTTGCTATTATTAGTAAGCGTCAAATTCAAGTATTAGAGAGATAGTTTAGTATGGATAGGAACTAAATATTTCTAAGGTCGTGTTACCATCATCGCTGGATTCGATTCAGAACGATATTGCCGTGGCCTGAAGTGTGACGGAATTCAGTGACTTTTTAGTGACTTTTTATAGATGAATAGGGTATTATTATAGTCTATAATACAATGGCAAAACTTAACGGACAAAATTGCACAGTTCTTTAGAGCAACTGTTACAGAGTACTTCACACTGTACGTTATGATACTACTGCTACGTTATGATACTGAAGCTTTTTTTTTGCCGCTCTGTGCATAACAGTGCATGAATAGTAATTATAATAAATGACCCAGTAAAATCAATGTCAACGCGTTCCAGAAGTTCTGTACTAGTAATGATTAATTACTTAATGAATTGGTCTGTGCCATTTTTCGTTTGACAGGGCTATATACAACAAGCTCTTCACAGCTATTCGTTTAAGGGACATAAAAATTGAAATTATTCTATGGAGGGCAGTTGTACGATACCGGACTGACATGATTCGTCAAATCCCGGGGCCGTTTGCAGTTCTCCCCGGACCGTTGAACTCTATCTGCCGAAATCATACCCACCAAATTTACAACCCATCTTTTCTAGTCTTCTTGCTTGGCTCTACAAAAATTAACATTACAAAATCTGGGAAAATGTGTGGTAGAAGCTTTCTTATAGTCCCATAATAAGCATCTTCGGTACTTTTTTTAGTTCTTCAAAATCTTTGTGAAGATTTTTGGTAATGTCAGAAAGGGGCCTCGCCTGATGAGCATAGTACCTGAACGATCCCTCTGGCCTTTCTTCCGGATCATGTAGTATTCTGATAGCGATGCAAAAATGATTATGATTGTAAAGGATGCAATCAGAGCGCTGAAATGAAAAAAAAAAGGTAGAAACTTATTCTTCTAGGTATCTCGATGTTAATATGTCAAACAACATAAAAGGCAGATATTGCTAATATTGGGTGACACATGTGAATTTCATTCGCCTTTATATTATATAACTTATGCAGGAGTTGTTTTAAGATTAATTGTTCACTAGTTGTTCTAATGCGGCCATAAAAAAGGAATCACTTTCTATGATGAAATTAACTATAAACGAACTTTGAAAAACTAAAAGGCTTTCAAAACTATGATTTTTTAACATGAATATTACGCCAATATTTTATTACAAAATACAAAACCAAGAGCTAATTATAGAGTGAAAGTTAGGAAAAAATGTTAGTCGTCAAATTATGTTAGAGGTTATAATAAAACGTGAGGATCTGGCGACGATCTACTATAGTTAGTATACTGCTATAAATATAGCCGCCGTCGCGAGTTTTGCGTACCAGCAAAGGTCAACGACGTCGTCGTTGTTGTTGTTGTTTCCTCGTTCAAGTTTCCTAGCCTGCGAGCTTCCGCATATCGTCGCTGCTTAAATGCGTCAAAACTCATATTTTCCACAGGTACCATTTTAACGAGTGATAAAAAAAACAAGTCCCAAATTGCTCTGTTGTTAATATTATTTAGACCTTCTTTTTCCTAGATGGTTGCGAGAATACAATAAATGTATCATCGTATGCGCTCATAACGTATCGCTGACGGGCGTACGGTGGCACAGATTTTTTTCTCGCACTGTTTCCCTCCCAGACGTTAAGATTGCATCAACGCTGCTTGATGCAAAAAATAATCGCGTGAAATACTTTTTAGCTTCTAGTTAAGCAAGGTCACTATGGCCAGTTTTTCTCATGATGTAGTAAAATAACAACGCTTGAAACTGTTTTACCCTATTGTCTTTTTGGTGCGCGTACGTGGCTTTGATCGAAGCAGGGTGGGGAGGGTAACGTTAACGCTTTTGAGAGAAAACCAGTCGTCGAATTAGCCAGAAGATAACGGGTATTCGGGAGTTCGCTTTCGGGATGCTCGTGTGTTTACTGAACGCATGAATAGGCACGCCGGTTTAACGCTTGCGGTTAAGGACGCTCGACAGGATATTGTAGAAGTGACGATATGGTCCTGTGGTATAGCTCACTGTTGTGAGCGATCTACCACTGAACTTATCAAGCGAAGTTAATTAATGCTAACTTAATTGCTTTTGCGACCTTCAAAGCACTGCTTAAATGATTACTGCAGGTAATCAATAATCATATGATATACGTTAAGTGCTGGTTTTAAAAATAGAACGCCTTTGCTGTCAATCATTGAAACAGGTTATTTTACGGTATATGTAACTGTGATATGTCGAAAGACGCCCTTATAATTATATTCGTACACAGGTATTAATATCGCACCGACGTAGAGCTGTCTTAATGGACTAGTCATGTGTCTTCGGCGTCTATATATATTAATTAGTTCTTTAACCATCAACAATTTCAGAATTCTCGTCTAGAATCAAAAAAAATCATACAGAATAAACAATAACTAATGTTAATTATGTGTGATTTTGTCAAGCTGAGGAGCTCTGTAAAATATTATCAGCGTTTTTTGCTTCACTTCACGGCCCAGTCAGAAACTGGGTCAGGCTAGACCAACGAACAAGTGGTGCCGTGCCGTGCAGATAATATGTCTCGATTAATTTATGAAACTGCATTAGTATTGAAATGACCATTAGGTAAGGTTTTAGTGTACTTTCAGAAAATTCTTGGTATAGACTCATTACCAACAAAAGAAATTCGCAATCCTCTTGGTCCACGTAAGCCTATGGATTAGAGTGTCCTAGCCATAAATAGAAAAATCCAAGTAAAACATATCAATGCGGTGTTAAAGCTGTGCAGACGTTCTACCTTGGCAAGGCCCTTCTGCGCTGGCTATAATGTGACACTATTACATTATAATAAACAAATTATAACACTAAGGTAGGCATCAGTCACAAAAGCTCCACCAACGATTGCGAACAAGATAAATACTGCCATTACCAGATACCGCGTAGAGCCATGTGAAATAACCATGTCATTGTCTCGTACGTAGCTTCTTTCGATAAACATATGGCCATTAGTTACTTAAGCTGCTTGTAGATTCCTAGTCTTTTTCCCTGTCCTACGCGCTGCCTTTGCCGGCGTCGGTACAAAAGGCCTAACTAGGCGTCCCTGGGTGTCACCGATAGTCCAGCAGTAAAGTTGCCTTTCTCGAAAGTCATGAACAGAAATAGATTCATAAGCATCTAGCTTTTTTTGGTATCGCCTCCGCCTTAACGTCTAACCTCCACATGAAGATCACACGAGTTACCACCTGGTCATTCGAAGTGGTGGCAAATTTCTGTGGTATAGCGGTGCGCGCCATTGGCGTCGGTAGTTATGCAGCGCCATCTATCCTTACCATGGTACCTTTAAAAAAACTGCTGTTGTAATCATTTGTCTTAGCTTTCATTGATGGCCAAGCTTCTATTCGTCTTCCTGAATACATTTGACGCACGCTAAATGGGTGTCATCATATGTATCTGTAAATGAGCAAACGCGTAACCGTTATGCGCGCTTAATTCGCCTGTCAATGCGGGTTGACTTCTACAATCTATTTACGACATAAATGTTTCTATATTAGTCGACACATCGTTAGCTGATCACGAGAAGATACGACAAGACGACAGAGAGATAATGCGTTGTCGAAGATAATTCGTGTTCAACAAAAATTAAACTAGCCCCAGTTACGTTCGCACTTTTGGCCTTTACCTCTTTTCGCCGAAGCTAAAGTTAGCTCTGTATAGCAGCTCCTTGCTGTGCAGTCTTTCTCCTTCTTCCCCACCCAAATCGTTGCTAATTTTTCTGCCTCTGTTGCTGTAAGAGCCTGAACGCCGCTTAACGCTCGGCCGCTCGGTCATACTTCAACTACTTTATCGTCGACGTCACAAGACGAGCGCCTTCTCTCTAGCTTATCGACAACGCTCTTCAAAGCAATGTTTTTACGAAAAACATCATCACAAATCGTAGCAGCAATGTCTGAACGAATAAAAGAAAGGTTTTCTATGGCCTTCGCAGACCCTTCTTTTTTCGGGTATTCATATGCACGCACAACTCGTTCGATGTATAAGGCTAAATTATAAAAAAAAAAAAATAAATAAACCAGCAAGTTATGCCACCAACTAGACTTTGCTCTTACGTAGCAAAACTTCGGTCAGCGGTCAGGGGTTCCTTTAATATTGGTAATGTAAATAATTGATATACTTCCATGAAATGAATGAAATAATTGTTATTTTCATTCAGTATCGTTACGATGAGCGTGTGGTCTTGATTCCAGGTATCATCGTTCATCCAATCAACTGTTATAGTGCGACGAAATCGATTGAAGACTGCTATATCAGGACTGATCACGAAGAACACGGTAGGTTTAGGTTTTCTGTATTTCAAGGTTATTCGTTAGATCGTAATTTTCGGTTACATTCGATAATCTTAGCATTGCTACTCACAAACGGGGCTCACAGCTGCCACTGCACTTTTGTAACTCATCGAACCCTCTGGACGGTTAAGAGCTTAACCCTAAATAGGTTATGATTAGTATATGACCTGTTTACATCGGGACCTCTATACATATAGGGTCTAAATAGATCTTTATTTATTTTCTGGTAACAGTAAAAGATATTAACTTGTAAGATAGCCGCCATTCGCTTCTATCTTGCAATATCTATAGCGGTAACAGGACCATTTAACATTGATACTCACAGCATGCATGCTTGCGTTTGAGTAAGTGGTGCTTTTTCCGTATGCGGCAATAGTTCACAGCCAGTAACAGTCGGCTTTACCCCGTATTTTCCCAATACTGAAAAGTATACATTTGACATAGACTTTAATATCACATAGTTCATAAACGTCAAAAAAAACCCATATTTAGAAAAAACTAGTTTGGAGAACAGTGCCTCAACAGTCGAACACGGCGTATACACCCTTCAGTGATAGTGTATTTAACGTATCTTTTAGAGCGGCTTTTTCAAGCAAGGCTAGCTGAAAAAACTCACTATGAATTGAAGCTCAGTGACAAATGTATTCTTTTTGTTTTTAGTTAATTTCAATTTAAGGTCAACGCTCAATCTTTGGGAGAAAAGCTTGCCGCAATATGTAGCCACCCTAAATATTATTTGCTCGACCCGTAGCAGCCTATTTATCAGAAGAGCGATGTAGTATTGTTGTTAAATTAGGCAAATGAATTTTCAAAGGTTGTACAAAAGCATAGGATCTGGCATCGTTCGAATAGGCGATCTACTTACAAGTGTGGATCATGTATTCTATCTCATCGCCGCTACACTTCGATGGAATACAGATTCCTATCCGAATACCAAGGAACAAATCCTGACTAAGCCATTTTAAGGGGTCGGCCCTTCCAACATATTCACCATTTTCTTGGAAACGGTAAATGATCTTCTTGAGGAATGGCACGTTCCTGGGATTCAGGTAAAGGGTGCAATATTGACCTGTAATTGGAAAAATAACCATATCAGATTCGCATAAACTATACATTATAGAAATATATCCACACTTATCTTTTTTTTGTAACCTTGAACCCTATATGATGTAGCAACTTATCCTCAGCACGATGCGTGCACTGTCGATTTACAGGCCAGACGGTTAGGGCTGTTAGCTCACAACAAAAGCAGCTATGTACAATTAACGTTTCCTATAATGTTCCCGTAATATGCCCGCAGCGAAATCAGTTAGACTAAGTATTGTTAAAGTTAACAAAAAAATAAACTTCACATTGTAAATTACCAGATAACATTAACAGTATTAAGTGATAACAGTAATTAAGAACAAGGCTATGCTACGTCGATTAACGACTTCTTCTAACGGAATCAAGAGTACGTTGAGAATAACTTCACATGCCAAAATACAACCCAAGCAATGTAGGGACTTCTTCCGGTAGGTCGCGACAACTGACGGCAGACATAGAGAAAAATTGCTCAATTATAGGTAAAAGCTAGATAATTCGGAACACAACAAAATAAAAACGAAAAAATACATTCTCCTGTTTCAGCGTCTAGAGTGATGTTCGTCGACACGTGACCTTAGGCATACATGCTCCAGTTGCAAGCTTTCACAGCTTTCTCAGGTGTTCTTCCAGTTAGTTGCAATTGTGGGATGAATTGACCTGGAGTTTGCATTAACTTCTTTATATGGAAATATCAATTACAATTTTATTGTATGCAGAAGCGGATGAAGGTTATGAGGCAGGCAATAATCTGAGCTACCGTGTACGTACTCCGAAAGGGCGCACGATATACGACCTCATTTGGCCTATCTTAGGAGGCATCAAACACGAATAATGCTAGACAGAGAGAAAAGGCCCAATTTATTTAAAAATTATACCAGTTTTGCAATAGCTACCACATATAGTTGGAAGATAATGAACTTTGAAGCTATTACTTCGTCTTTAATGTATGTAATAAAAGATCTGCATTACATGCACTGGCGTGCAGTGTTTGGTGATTGGCAGTGTATTTTTGGAACTTGACTATTTTACCTCTAGCAGTCCGAATTCAGTTTTGGTACAACAATGGTAATACTAATGAACTTCTTCAGAATGGAGATGCATACGGTTACTTGAAAAATCGTAGTTACTTGAAAAAAAAAATAGTCTATCCAGTATGCTCACGGTTTAGAACCGTTGTAGTGATCGTCATTGTAAAATCAGATGAGCTTAAATAAGCCCGCCAAAGAAGATTAGCGCCGTATCCTATCCCGTCATTGACGCAGGATGGCATCTTATTCACTCTTGAAAAGAGGACATCTTTTCTATGTTTATGTTGGTCAGACGAGCAAAAACTCTAGCAGAATTGACTTGGGACAAAAGATTGCCTTTCACAAAATTCAGTGTCGAGGAACTCGAAAAACAGCTACAAATTAAGCTTCTAACGCGCTAGGATTGTATCACAGAGCCCAAACCCTAACACGTATGCATAAAAGATATAATAGATGATTAAATATTAAGTGTAGTCTGTTTACGTTGTCTTCATCAAACACGGTTTTACACACACAGACACATATACAAATAGGAAAATTTGTCAACGTGTGTATTTTTAGGTTAAACTCTACAATTGAAGCCTAAATATCAGTTTATGCGATAATAATTAGTTTTTGACAGTTTATATCAGATAAACCTAAAGCATGGAAGCGTCAAGACAGCTAATCACGATTCCAGATGGATTAGCTAATATTTTCGAAGAGGACACAATAAATCTGGAAGACGAGCTTTTATGAGCGCGTCATAACAATCAAAATACTCCCTCTACTCAATGGTTTAGAATTTTTTAAACTGAATAGAATTAGAATCGATTTTGAAATTTTCTAAAAAAAAAACAATACATCTAAATAGTAAAAAATAATTGCGCATTAAGGCACTACATAATTACAAAACTATTAACCCGGTATAGATTTGCAATGTCATACACTTGACACTTTTCAATTTGTTTGGAATGGAACGAAAAACTAGGCCATTTAGGCCTACAAGGCAAAGTGACCTCTAGTCAAGGTCTTTGCAAAGTGGAAGCGGTACTATTCGCGTCGATCCGCGCGAGCGTTTTGTTTAGCCTACTTTGTGACAGGACAACGACTTAAATAGGACAGATCAGTTAGATCATAACTGACGATTACGGTATAATTTAATAGCGAAAAGTATCATGCAATTGATGAATAGGTGTCTGTACAATATGTGATTGCATACGATGACATGTACACACGTATTTATTCAAATATTAGTGCCGTGCTTTTCTTTTAATTCACTCCTATTAAATATATTTATGTAATTTAATTACTGAAACGCTTTCTAAATTCAAACGGTAGATTACTACTGCAGTTTTTGATATCAGTTTTGGTCGCGTTTAGAGAGAAGTAAAAGTTCTTTAACTTTAGTCCGCAAAAAAAATTCGAAGCTGAAGTTGTGAGGCAGCTCAGGCGTGAATAGGCCAAACACCAAAGGACAATTTGATCCATGTTCGTATCTTAGCGAATAAATCAATATAAAAAGATTGTGTTTTCGTCACTGAAATAAAATCCTCGACGCACAATAATGTTTCCTTTCTAGAACGTGAGCGATTTATTACGAGTACTTAATCAAGGTCCTTTAAATCTCCGAAAGCTTTAAATTTGGCAGAAAGCCATATCGATCCATCTCATATTACGCACAATGATTCAAGATTTGAGAGTGCTTCTCCAATAAATAACCGCCTCTGTGGAGTTTGCCTCTCTAGTTTGTAAGGCCTATTTTTCTCGAGGAATCGATTAAGATCAGGTGATTTAAGTCGCTGGACAATGGCAAAATCTGTCTAGCACCAAATACAACACAAGTTGACAATGCTTCTGAACCCCGCTCGAAAAAGTATATCCGGTAAGTCGGAATCAAATGTTAAAGTGTCCTACGAAACGTCGTCGCGCTACATCTAACGTAAAATTATCCATATTTTAACAAAAGCTCATTTAGGCTTAACTTATAGGTCTTTTAGCACAGTATGGAATCAATAGAAGAACAACGAGTTCTCTTGTGAAAATACATAAAAAGTACGCACATAAAAGCCAAAATATAAATTAATAATAGAAGCAAAAATTAACGTAGACAAACGAAACGTATGCATAAAAAAATATTAGAGTTGATTTAGCAGAAATTTTACACTGGAACCTCGAAGCAGTCGAATACCGTTATACTGACAAAGTCCACGTTCCGTTTCCGTGTTACAGTATAATTATAAGAATATATATGTGTTACAATGTAATACATACAATTAAATAAGTGTATCAATGTATACTTAGGTGCTTGCGGGACTCGAAGTGCCAAAAGTTTGTTTAAAGAAACGTGTTTCGCTGCCTTCAAATGGCTTTTAGATGTGTTACTAGTCCTATTCTATTTGGTTTGGAAGGTACTGCATCAACGTGTAATTTCAGCTCTAGTCAATTGTATTTCCACAAGTGTCATTACGGTTTTGATCAGTAACCGCCTATGGAGTTGCTATTGAGCATAATTTCTATATATATATACATAATAAGCTAGTAGACCGAGTCAAACATAAGACGCATTGGTGATTCATATAATAATATCTTACAATAATACGTACATCAGCTGGTTCATCTATAGTCTGTCTAGTGAAGGGCTATTTCGCACAAAATAAAGATGAAACAGTCCCTTCACCTTGTCGACAGTATACCAGAATAATTTGGCGCCGACCAGTTTGGAAACTCGAAATGCCAACTTCAGTGGAGCTTCCAAAAGTGCTGTCTCCTGTGGGAGTATGTCTGCTACGTGATTGCCCACATTCCCTATCCTCTATTGGCCTTGGAAAGTGTGACAAACCAGAAAGACACAGGGAAACTATGTTCATCGCTCAATCGCTTGCTGTCGCTCCTGCTGGCGATAAAAAAAAGAAGCAAAAGGATACGTATAACGGTATTCGTGTCATACCTTTTCCACCGGCTAACGCAGCATTTTGAATTGAGCCGCGTCTTTGTCAGGACAGATGAGTTACCAAATCAAGCGTACATCACATCAATATGGGCAGACCGCCCTCGCCTAGGCCATATCCATGATTTCACCACTGCTACAGCCAGTATAATTATTATTATAAGAATTCTGGCATCTATTATTCACCCCCCTACGACAATATTTTGGTGTGACTGCTATTCATAACAGTAACAGCGGCATATCAATACCATGGCCCCTATATGTCAGTATGACTGCAACAACATGAGCGAGCTTCTACCGCGAATAGCAAAAAGCTAAATAGGGTAGGCATATGTCTGAAGTGTTATTGGTGTAATTATGAGGTAGAGGATAATTACGTTTTCAGTGATGGTATGCTGAACCGCTTTCGTTCTGAAGCGTATTTGACTTACTTAGAAGTAGGAACTTCACTCTAATTAATGTTTTTTGTTTATCTATTGGCAGTGGAAGGATATGAAGAGGCAGACATAGTAAACTGGCTGCTTTCCCGCTGATCGTTCTCCCGGTATAATTTAAAGCAAAACTAAAATCATTTGTGTATAAAAGAGAAAAAAGTTTACGAGCCGATAAAGAAATTCCGAAGCGTCATCCGGATTGCCTGATAGTTAAAAATTAAATACTTAAAATTTAAGTAATAAGACGCGCGCTAACGGATTGACTCGTGCATATTCTAGGGGGTTTAAAGAATGTTGGAAAAGGAACGTGCCAAGCCACTGGACTTAATATGGTACAATACTTCCTTTAGTCGAAGAAATTCTATTGATGCTCTAGTATAGTTCTGCTAGTGGTACTGCCTCGTAAAATGACAAGCGAAACCGTTTGTTAGATTAGAATTCGAGAATCACATACTAGAATATGCGAAAGATCTTCAAAACAACACTTAACACCTCCTGGTACGCTAACAACATTTGCCGTCCATGGCCCATCCTTTTTGCTTGCCTTCCACCTACCGCCTCTCAGTAACAATTAAGCCTCAATTAATGACGC